AAAATCTTCAGGCAGTTAAACTAGAAATATGTCTACCCTTGTTTAGTGTTTACGATTATTGCAGGGTTTGGACAAAGTTTAGGGCTGATCCCAGTGCTCACAGTGTACAATTTTCAGCTAATAAATCTTGAATTCTGAGGTAACAAAATCAACTAGAACTCTGAAAAAGTGATTTATCAGAAATCATGCCCTTACTTCCATGATAAGAGGGATTCGTAAAAATTATAAGCAGGTTGTGGCTTATTATCTAGTAAAAGATACAAGAATCCCAGATCTGAAAACGATTATTGTTCATGTGATCACAAACTAGCAGCGACTTGGTTTGTGCGTTGTTGGCACTATTTCTAATCAGGGCGCAACGATCAAAAACGCACTTGAGACGATTTGCTCGGAGAATACTCACGGATCAAGTCCATTCCATTTTATAGTCAATGCTCAGAGTATTTCTACAATTTGTGATGAACCACATTTATTCAAAAATGGATGAAATGCTCTTATTGACATTAATATGAAAGTGAAGAAGCTGCACAGATTGAACATGTCTAGAAATCATATAATGTTGATCAGCAAACAAGACCATACAAAGAGCTATGTAAATTGAAACCCAGCCACTTTGATTTTATAGATTCGTTCAAGAATATAGAAATTAATCCTTTAATGATATCGTCGGATGATTCGAGCTTTCTCAGTTATGTGGTGGGGGTCCCGTGACTTCTCATACGGTATGAGCACGTATACCTCAAACCACAGTTTAATTTAAACATCACAATTGTTGGTTTGTTGACTTTGCGGTCAAATTTGATCCGAGGATGTCAGTTGCGTGTACGATTTGAACTTCCTTCACAATGGATTTTTTCGTTGTTGACGGATGAACAATACACTATAGACTACGCCGGAGGACGACGCTGCTATCGATCAACCTGAACAACTTCCTATGGGCGACCTCGCTATGCCTATGGAAAAAACATGTACAATTGGTCAAAACGAGCGCCTGCAACTGGTCGATTATTACGCATTTACCTGAACTAAAGTCCGTGGCAACCAATTTGGAAAATAATAACCCTGTGACTCGAGAAATGCCGATAAATTTCTCCAAATACGTGAAATTTTCGAGACACTCATAGAGAACTGTCGAAATTGTTATATTTCGGGTGAGTCCCCTACAAAATACGAGATGCTCGTGGGCCGATGTCCTTCCTGTGCCTACAAGAAAACTAAACCGAATAAGTATGGACTGATGATGCAAAGACTCACCACTACCTGCTCAATGCTTTCGTCTATACGAACAGAAATATCACAGCAGATGACTGGTTCACGTCAGTAGAATTACATGTAGAATTGCGCATCAACCAACTGACCTATGTCGGCAGGAAGCGTAAAAATAAGTAACAAGTACCCCAACATGTAGTTCCAAATAAGAAGGAAACACAGCCAGGTACTTCTAAGTTTATGTTGTACAGCCTTAGAGTAGTATCTTCCAAAACCAAATACACATGTTCTCGTATAGCAATCTATGCAGCATGATAACAAAATAGTAGGAATCAAAGAAACCTGATAAGATCCTATATTATTTTTATAACACTATGAAGGCGGGGGGTAATGCATTAGATCGGAAGTGTGTAAATTACAATACTGGTTAGAGAACGAGAAGATGGCCTTGTGCTATTTGGTATCCAACCAGCTTCTGTAAATTCCTTTTTTTTTCAGTCTGGGACTGAAAGTTCCATTAGGCGACGAAATTTTATTGTTCCCCTGAGGCAAACTCTAATTTAACTTCGTATGAGAGGACGTTTATCAGATCCAAGACTTCCTAGGGAGCTTCGTTCAGCCATGCAAAGAATCCTAAATTACCAACGACGAATAAAGTAAGCCGTCTACTTCTCAGCCCAGAGTTCTCGATCCTGATGCAGTTGTTAAAGAAAAAAAACGACGTAGGTGTTACATGACAATACACAATGAAAAAAATGTTCTACAATCTGTAATAAGTATGTAAAGTCACAGCGCACTTACATTGTTTCGTGAAAAGTGATAAATGTTAATTATTGTATGTTTCCTTATACGAGAAAGTATTTGTTTTTGTTGTAGAATATCAACACCAAATATGTTGTTAAATGGCCCATTTTGTTAGTTTTTTTATGTTCATATTACAGTTCAAGTTTCGAGGATTATATTTATTGCATTACTCATCTTCAATGGGGTATTTTCGTTTTTAGACAATAAACAGTTTTCATGTAAGAGTGTCTTATGCGTACAAACCTGTTGTACACATGGCTAAAAACAGTAATGGCATTTCAGATGTTGATAGTAAGATCCGGTGGATAACCTGTTTTGCGAGATTAGACGTGGGATTTCCAACACGAACACCATCTGTTTATTTGAAGCATTAAAAACTGTAATAATCAACAATTTCAGTTTTCCATTGACAATAATGAAGAATTATGAAGGCGATTCATGTAAGGCACTAGGTAACTTCGCGTTGCTTTTAGAAGAGTATTGTCTGAATAGACAACAGTTACCTTGTGATTCTTCACCGAGCTGCATTTTTCAAGTTGAAAAATCGGGTGCTGAAAGTGATGGATCTATAGATTTGTGAGAATTTGCTGCTGCTTCAACTTCTTTTTGTAATAACAATAACAGTCTATATGAAATTTAACAATTCTGTTTCTTCTTTGATTTTGAGTCACCCTGTAAATGTAGCTCTACTAAACTATCGGACCGCATTCATAGCCTACAAGAGAAAAAAATCTTCTATACTGGAAAGGAGGAAAAAAAGAATGTATCAACCTGATACATCTGCCCCTCTTTATAACCCGTGAAATAGCCCTAGTTCTAATTAAATTTCAGTTCAAGCTTCCAAAATGACTTCCAACAATATTAAAGTAGCCACAAAGATCAGACCAATGATCCACCGCGAAGTAGCCGATGGTCTAGAGCGTCTTTGGAACGTAAGAGTAAACTGCATATGGGAAGCCGATGAAAGTAGTCGCCATGGAGAGGTTTATATATTCGACCATGTATTTAATCAGGAATGTACAAATTCAGATGTATATGGATCTGTAGTAAAACCTTTAGTCGATTCCTTCATGGAAACATCTTCTGGCAAAACACACACCATTTTGGGCAATAAAACAGATCCTGGGCTTTTCCAATTAGTATCCAATCAGTTATTCCAGCATGTGGCAGACCAGGTTGATAAGAGGTACTTGATTAGATGCAGTTATATTGAAATCTACAATGAAAAGATCAATGACCTCCTGGATAAGAGCAATCAGGGTTTAACTATGAGAAGATATCAAAGGAAATGTGCTGCTTGATGCAAGGGAAGCTGTCGTAGACAATGTTGATAAAGTTATGGAGAACATGATGCAGGGCAATAAGATCAGACGAGTTGCAGCTACTCGCATGAATGAGAGGTCATCTCGATCACACACGATTTTCCGGATTATTCTGGAGTCGAAAGATGCCAATCAGAAAGATGGACCTGTACATATAAGCTACCTTAACTTAATGGACTTAGCTGGTTCTGAGAGAGTTTCTCTGACGAAAGCTGCTGGTGAGCGTCTTAAAGAGGGGGCTAACATAAACAAATCTTTGTCAGTATTAGGAAATGTGATAAGGCAACTAAGCGAGGGGAAGGAGTTTATCAGTTATCGCGATTCGAAATTGACTAGACTGCTCTCACAGGCTCTTGGCGGTAATGCCAAATCATTGATTATCGGGAATGTTACTTTAGCTGCAGAGGAGGAGACTAGATCTACACCAGAATTCGCCCAAAGCACTAAAACTGTCAAAAATAAAACGAAAGTAAACATCTTGTCAGCTACAGAAGAGACACTTCAAGGATATCAGAACTTGACTCGCGATCTCGAAACTCGGCTCAAAAAGCAGGCAATTAAGCTAAAAGAGATGGATAAAAGCAAACAAGAGTATCTGCTCGAGATAGAAAGACTAAAAACGGAAGTATCTATTGTCGGGCGCTTTCAAATGGGAGCCTCGGCATCAACACCGAAAAAACATTAAGACGTCATACTTTTGGACACTATGGCAACGTATCACCTAAAAAAGCATCCCTAGGGTATATGCCATTGAAAAATTATCCACCCAAAGAAGAATCATCCGGACGTGAAATGAGGCCTATTCAAGAAGAGACATATGAGGAGGCACTAGCCGAAGCAGAATCTGTGATAGCTGAAGACGTGCAAGTGTACTTAAAAGACAACGCAAAGAACTGGAAGAATCTTTCAATGAGCTTAGAGAATTCACTAAACTAGATAATCAGCTGGAGATTTTGGACCTGAAGAAACAGCTCACAGAAGCCAATTCTAAAATCGATCGTTACAGTCAGGAACTCCGCCAAGTAACGGATGCGTACAACGAAGAAATAGAAAGAGTTCAAAAAAATTCTCAAAAAGCGCAAGAATTTCATCGACTTGCAATACAGACTCGATTTTCTGGAAAAAAATAATAAAAAGACTAAAAACATACGAGTCAGAAATAGAGATGCTGCGTACTCAACTGAAGAACCTAGGAAGATCAGAGAGCCCTAAACCATCTCTTGAAGCTCAAAATATTGAGTCAAAAAAGAAGGTTGCAGACTTAGAAGCTATGCTTGACGCTGAGTACGAAGATATGCAAGATTCTTTAAGTGCTGCTACACAAACTGATGTAACGATGTCACACATTGCTGAACTGCAAGATGAAATTGGCTTCCTAAAAGAACTTGAATCTAAACTGAGAAATGACGTAAAGAGTCTGATGGACGAGAGTAACCAACGTGAGGTCAACCACTCATTTAAAATCTCAGATATACGATGCCATAATGATTCTACTATAAAAGAGCTTCAGGATCAAATGGCTGAACTGGAATGCCAAAACGAAATCTGGATTATGAAAAGTGCCCCTCTTATAACCCGTGAAATAGCCCTAGTTCTAATTAAATTTCAGTTCAAGCTTCCAAAATGACTTCCGACAATATTAAAGTAGCCACAAAGATCAGACCAATGATCCACCGCGAAGTAGCCGATGGTCTAGAGCGTCTTTGGAACGTAAGAGTAAACTGCATATGGGAAGCCGATGAAAGTAGTCGCCATGGAGAGGTTTATATATTCGACCATGTATTTAAGCAGGAATGTACAAATTCAGATGTATATGGATCTGTAGTAAAACCTTTAGTCGATTCCTTCATGGAAGGTTTCAATGCCACAATATTTGCATATGGCCAAACATCTTCTGGCAAAACACACACCATTTTGGGCAATAAAACAGATCCTGGGCTTTTCCAATTAGTATCCAATCAGTTATTCCAGCATGTGGCAGACCAGGTTGATAAGAGGTACTTGATTAGATGCAGTTATATTGAAATCTACAATGAAAAGATCAATGACCTCCTGGATAAGAGCAATCAGGGTTTAACTATAAGAGAAGATATCAAAGGAAATGTGCTGCTTGATGCAAGGGAAGCTGTCGTAGACAATGTTGATAAAGTTATGGAGAACATGATGCAGGGCAATAAGATCAGACGAGTTGCAGCTACTCGCATGAATGAGAGGTCATCTCGATCACACACGATTTTCCGGATTATTCTGGAGTCGAAAGATGCCAATCAGAAAGATGGACCTGTACATATAAGCTACCTTAACTTAATGGACTTAGCTGGTTCTGAGAGAGTTTCTCTGACGAAAGCTGCTGGTGAGCGTCTTAAAGAGGGGGCTAACATAAACAAATCTTTGTCAGTATTAGGAAATGTGATAAGGCAACTAAGCGAGGGGAAGGAGTTTATCAGTTATCGCGATTCGAAATTGACTAGACTGCTCTCACAGGCTCTTGGCGGTAATGCCAAATCATTGATTATCGGGAATGTTACTTTAGCTGCAGAGGAGGAGACTAGATCTACACCAGAATTCGCCCAAAGCACTAAAACTGTCAAAAATAAAACGAAAGTAAACATCTTGTCAGCTACAGAAGAGACACTTCAAGGATATCAGAACTTGACTCGCGATCTCGAAACTCGGCTCAAAAAGCAGGCAATTAAGCTAAAAGAGATGGATAAAAGCAAACAAGAGTATCTGCTCGAGATAGAAAGACTAAAAACGGAAGTATCTATTGTCGGGCGCTTTCAAATGGGAGCCTCGGCATCAACACCGAAAAAAACATTAAGACGTCATACTTTTGGACACTATGGCAACGTATCACCTAAAAAAGCATCCCTAGGGTATATGCCATTGAAAAATTATCCACCCAAAGAAGAATCATCCGGACGTGAAATGAGGCCTATTCAAGAAGAGACATATGAGGAGGCACTAGCCGAAGCAGAATCTGTGATAGCTGAAGACGTGCAAGTGTACTTAAAAGACAACGCAAAGAACTGGAAGAATCTTTCAATGAGCTTAGAGAATTCACTAAACTAGATAATCAGCTGGAGATTTTGGACCTGAAGAAACAGCTCACAGAAGCCAATTCTAAAATCGATCGTTACAGTCAGGAACTCCGCCAAGTAACGGATGCGTACAACGAAGAAATAGAAAGAGTTCAAAAAAATTCTCAAAAAGCGCAAGAATTTCATCGACTTGCAATACAGACTCGATTTTCTGGAAAAAAATAATAAAAAGACTAAAAACATACGAGTCAGAAATAGAGATGCTGCGTACTCAACTGAAGAACCTAGGAAGATCAGAGAGCCCTAAACCATCTCTTGAAGCTCAAAATATTGAGTCAAAAAAGAAGGTTGCAGACTTAGAAGCTATGCTTGACGCTGAGTACGAAGATATGCAAGATTCTTTAAGTGCTGCTACACAAACTGATGTAACGATGTCACACATTGCTGAACTGCAAGATGAAATTGGCTTCCTAAAAGAACTTGAATCTAAACTGAGAAATGACGTAAAGAGTCTGATGGACGAGAGTAACCAACGTGAGGTCAACCACTCATTTAAAATCTCAGATATACGATGCCATAATGATTCTACTATAAAAGAGCTTCAGGATCAAATGGCTGAACTGGAATGCCAAAACGAAATCTGGATTATGAAAAGTGCCCCTCTTTATAACCCGTGAAATAGCCCTAGTTCTAATTAAATTTCAGTTCAAGCTTCCAAAATGACTTCCGACAATATTAAAGTAGCCACAAAGATCAGACCAATGATCCACCGCGAAGTAGCCGATGGTCTAGAGCGTCTTTGGAACGTAAGAGTAAACTGCATATGGGAAGCCGATGAAAGTAGTCGCCATGGAGAGGTTTATATATTCGACCATGTATTTAAGCAGGAATGTACAAATTCAGATGTATATGGATCTGTAGTAAAACCTTTAGTCGATTCCTTCATGGAAGGTTTCAATGCCACAATATTTGCATATGGCCAAACATCTTCTGGCAAAACACACACCATTTTGGGCAATAAAACAGATCCTGGGCTTTTCCAATTAGTATCCAATCAGTTATTCCAGCATGTGGCAGACCAGGTTGATAAGAGGTACTTGATTAGATGCAGTTATATTGAAATCTACAATGAAAAGATCAATGACCTCCTGGATAAGAGCAATCAGGGTTTAACTATGAGAAGATATCAAAGGAAATGTGCTGCTTGATGCAAGGGAAGCTGTCGTAGACAATGTTGATAAAGTTATGGAGAACATGATGCAGGGCAATAAGATCAGACGAGTTGCAGCTACTCGCATGAATGAGAGGTCATCTCGATCACACACGATTTTCCGGATTATTCTGGAGTCGAAAGATGCCAATCAGAAAGATGGACCTGTACATATAAGCTACCTTAACTTAATGGACTTAGCTGGTTCTGAGAGAGTTTCTCTGACGAAAGCTGCTGGTGAGCGTCTTAAAGAGGGGGCTAACATAAACAAATCTTTGTCAGTATTAGGAAATGTGATAAGGCAACTAAGCGAGGGGAAGGAGTTTATCAGTTATCGCGATTCGAAATTGACTAGACTGCTCTCACAGGCTCTTGGCGGTAATGCCAAATCATTGATTATCGGGAATGTTACTTTAGCTGCAGAGGAGGAGACTAGATCTACACCAGAATTCGCCCAAAGCACTAAAACTGTCAAAAATAAAACGAAAGTAAACATCTTGTCAGCTACAGAAGAGACACTTCAAGGATATCAGAACTTGACTCGCGATCTCGAAACTCGGCTCAAAAAGCAGGCAATTAAGCTAAAAGAGATGGATAAAAGCAAACAAGAGTATCTGCTCGAGATAGAAAGACTAAAAACGGAAGTATCTATTGTCGGGCGCTTTCAAATGGGAGCCTCGGCATCAACACCGAAAAAAACATTAAGACGTCATACTTTTGGACACTATGGCAACGTATCACCTAAAAAAGCATCCCTAGGGTATATGCCATTGAAAAATTATCCACCCAAAGAAGAATCATCCGGACGTGAAATGAGGCCTATTCAAGAAGAGACATATGAGGAGGCACTAGCCGAAGCAGAATCTGTGATAGCTGAAGACGTGCAAGTGTACTTAAAAGACAACTCAAAGAACTGGAAGAATCTTTCAATGAGCTTAGAATTCACTAAACTAGATAATCAGCTGGAGATTTTGGACCTGAAGAAACAGCTCACAGAAGCCAATTCTAAATTCGATCGTTACAGTCAGGAACTCCGCCAAGTAACGGATGCGTACAACGAAGAAATAGAAAGAGTTCAAAAAAATTCTCAAAAAGCGCAAGAATTTCATCGACTTGCAATACAGACTCGATTTTCTGGAAAAAAATAATAAAAAGACTAAAAACATACGAGTCAGAAATAGAGATGCTGCGTACTCAACTGAAGAACCTAGGAAGATCAGAGAGCCCTAAACCATCTCTTGAAGCTCAAAATATTGAGTCAAAAAAGAAGGTTGCAGACTTAGAAGCTATGCTTGACGCTGAGTACGAAGATATGCAACATTCTTTAAGTGCTGCTGCACAAACTGATGTAACGATGTCACACATTGCTGAACTGCAAGATGAAATTGGCTTCCTAAAAGAACTTGAATCTAAACTGAGAAATGACGTAAAGAGTCTGATGGACGAGAGTAACCAACGTGAGGTCAACCACTCATTTAAAATCTCAGATATACGATGCCATAATGATTCTACTATAAAAGAGCTTCAGGATCAAATGGCTGAACTGGAATGCCAAAACGAAATCTGGATTATGAAAAAGGACGACGAAATCAGAAAATTGCAACAACTAATTACAAACCCGAAGCAGGCTGGCACTTAACCAGAACCACCTGTGCAGGAAGACGTTGCATTTTATAGGGAGCAAGTTGAGTTCTCCCAGAACATGTACAAAAATGAGATAATAGGTGGAGAGTTACGTATAAACCATAGAGAAAATCTTCAGGCAGTTAAACTAGAAATATGTCTACCCTTGTTTAGTGTTTACGATTATTGCAGGGTTTGGACAAAGTTTAGGGCTGATCCCAGTGCTCACAGTGTACAATTTTCAGCTAATAAATCTTGAATTCTGAGGTAACAAAATCAACTAGAACTCTGAAAAAGTGATTTATCAGAAATCATGCCCTTACTTCCATGATAAGAGGGATTCGTAAAAATTATAAGCAGGTTGTGGCTTATTATCTAGTAAAAGATACAAGAATCCCAGATCTGAAAACGATTATTGTTCATGTGATCACAAACTAGCAGCGACTTGGTTTGTGCGTTGTTGGCACTATTTCTAATCAGGGCGCAACGATCAAAAACGCACTTGAGACGATTTGCTCGGAGAATACTCACGGATCAAGTCCATTCCATTTTATAGTCAATGCTCAGAGTATTTCTACAATTTGTGATGAACCACATTTATTCAAAAATGGATGAAATGCTCTTATTGACATTAATATGAAAGTGAAGAAGCTGCACAGATTGAACATGTCTAGAAATGTTGATCAGCAAACAAGACCATACAAAGAGCTATGTAAATTGAAACCCAGCCACTTTGATTTTATAGATTCGTTCAAGAATATAGAAATTAATCCTTTAATGATATCGTCGGATGATTCGAGCTTTCTCAGTTATGTGGTGGGGGTCCCGTGACTTCTCATACGGTATGAGCACGTATACCTCAAACCACAGTTTAATTTAAACATCACAATTGTTGGTTTGTTGACTTTGCGGTCAAATTTGATCCGAGGATGTCAGTTGCGTGTACGATTTGAACTTCCTTCACAATGGATTTTTTCGTTGTTGACGGATGAACAATACACTATAGACTACGCCGAGGACGACGCTGCTATCGATCAACCTGAACAACTTCCTATGGGCGACCTCGCTATGCCTATGGAAAAAACATGTACAATTGGTCAAAACGAGCGCCTGCAACTGGTCGATTATTACGCATTTACCTGAACTAAAGTCCGTGGCAACCAATTTGGAAAATAATAACCCTGTGACTCGAGAAATGCCGATAAATTTCTCCAAATACGTGAAATTTTCGAGACACTCATAGAGAACTGTCGAAATTGTTATATTTCGGGTGAGTCCCCTACAAAATACGAGATGCTCGTGGGCCGATGTCCTTCCTGTGCCTACAAGAAAACTAAACCGAATAAGTATGGACTGATGATGCAAAGACTCACCACTACCTGCTCAATGCTTTCGTCTATACGAACAGAAATATCACAGCAGATGACTGGTTCACGTCAGTAGAATTACATGTAGAATTGCGCATCAACCAACTGACCTATGTCGGCAGGAAGCGTAAAAATAAGTAACAAGTACCCCAACATGTAGTTCCAAATAAGAAGGAAACACAGCCAGGTACTTCTAAGTTTATGTTGTACAGCCTTAGAGTAGTATCTTCCAAAACCAAATACACATGTTCTCGTATAGCAATCTATGCAGCATGATAACAAAATAGTAGAGGAATCAAAGAAACCTGATAAGATCCTATATTATTTTTATAACACTATGAAGGCGGGGGGTAATGCATTAGATCGGAAGTGTGTAAATTACAATACTGGTTAGAGAACGAGAAGATGGCCTTGTGCTATTTGGTATCCAACCAGCTTCTGTAAATTCCTTTTTTTTTCAGTCTGGGACTGAAAGTTCCATTAGGCGACGAAATTTTATTGTTCCCCTGAGGCAAACTCTAATTTAACTTCGTATGAGAGGACGTTTATCAGATCCAAGACTTCCTAGGGAGCTTCGTTCAGCCATGCAAAGAATCCTAAATTACCAACGACGAATAAAGTAAGCCGTCTACTTCTCAGCCCAGAGTTCTCGATCCTGATGCAGTTGTTAAAGAAAAAAAACGACGTAGGTGTTACATGACAATACACAATGAAAAAAATGTTCTACAATCTGTAATAAGTATGTAAAGTCACAGCGCACTTACATTGTTTCGTGAAAAGTGATAAATGTTAATTATTGTATGTTTCCTTATACGAGAAAGTATTTGTTTTTGTTGTAGAATATCAACACCAAATATGTTGTTAAATGGCCCATTTTGTTAGTTTTTTTATGTTCATATTACAGTTCAAGTTTCGAGGATTATATTTATTGCATTACTCATCTTCAATGGGGTATTTTCGTTTTTAGACAATAAACAGTTTTCATGTAAGAGTGTCTTATGCGTACAAACCTGTTGTACACATGGCTAAAAACAGTAATGGCATTTCAGATGTTGATAGTAAGATCCGGTGGATAACCTGTTTTGCGAGATTAGACGTGGGATTTCCAACACGAACACCATCTGTTTATTTGAAGCATTAAAAACTGTAATAATCAACAATTTCAGTTTTCCATTGACAATAATGAAGAATTATGAAGGCGATTCATGTAAGGCACTAGGTAACTTCGCGTTGCTTTTAGAAGAGTATTGTCTGAATAGACAACAGTTACCTTGTGATTCTTCACCGAGCTGCATTTTTCAAGTTGAAAAATCGGGTGCTGAAAGTGATGGATCTATAGATTTGTGAGAATTTGCTGCTGCTTCTTCAACTTCTTTTTAATAACAATAACAGTCTATATGAAATTTAACAATTCTGTTTCTTCTTTGATTTTGAGTCACCCTGTAAATGTAGCTCTACTAAACTATCGGACCGCATTCATAGCCTACAAGAGAAAAAAATCTTCTATACTGGAAAGGAGGAAAAAAAGAATGTATCAACCTGATACATCTGCCCCTCTTTATAACCCGTGAAATAGCCCTAGTTCTAATTAAATTTCAGTTCAAGCTTCCAAAATGACTTCCAACAATATTAAAGTAGCCACAAAGATCAGACCAATGATCCACCGCGAAGTAGCCGATGGTCTAGAGCGTCTTTGGAACGTAAGAGTAAACTGCATATGGGAAGCCGATGAAAGTAGTCGCCATGGAGAGGTTTATATATTCGACCATGTATTTAATCAGGAATGTACAAATTCAGATGTATATGGATCTGTAGTAAAACCTTTAGTCGATTCCTTCATGGAAGGTTTCAATGCCACAATATTTGCATATGGCCAAACATCTTCTGGCAAAACACACACCATTTTGGGCAATAAAACAGATCCTGGGCTTTTCCAATTAGTATCCAATCAGTTATTCCAGCATGTGGCAGACCAGGTTGATAAGAGGTACTTGATTAGATGCAGTTATATTGAAATCTACAATGAAAAGATCAATGACCTCCTGGATAAGAGCAATCAGGGTTTAACTATGAGAAGATATCAAAGGAAATGTGCTGCTTGATGCAAGGGAAGCTGTCGTAGACAATGTTGATAAAGTTATGGAGAACATGATGCAGGGCAATAAGATCAGACGAGTTGCAGCTACTCGCATGAATGAGAGGTCATCTCGATCACACACGATTTTCCGGATTATTCTGGAGTCGAAAGATGCCAATCAGAAAGATGGACCTGTACATATAAGCTACCTTAACTTAATGGACTTAGCTGGTTCTGAGAGAGTTTCTCTGACGAAAGCTGCTGGTGAGCGTCTTAAAGAGGGGGCTAACATAAACAAATCTTTGTCAGTATTAGGAAATGTGATAAGGCAACTAAGCGAGGGGAAGGAGTTTATCAGTTATCGCGATTCGAAATTGACTAGACTGCTCTCACAGGCTCTTGGCGGTAATGCCAAATCATTGATTATCGGGAATGTTACTTTAGCTGCAGAGGAGGAGACTAGATCTACACCAGAATTCGCCCAAAGCACTAAAACTGTCAAAAATAAAACGAAAGTAAACATCTTGTCAGCTACAGAAGAGACACTTCAAGGATATCAGAACTTGACTCGCGATCTCGAAACTCGGCTCAAAAAGCAGGCAATTAAGCTAAAAGAGATGGATAAAAGCAAACAAGAGTATCTGCTCGAGATAGAAAGACTAAAAACGGAAGTATCTATTGTCGGGCGCTTTCAAATGGGAGCCTCGGCATCAACACCGAAAAAAACATTAAGACGTCATACTTTTGGACACTATGGCAACGTATCACCTAAAAAAGCATCCCTAGGGTATATGCCATTGAAAAATTATCCACCCAAAGAAGAATCATCCGGACGTGAAATGAGGCCTATTCAAGAAGAGACATATGAGGAGGCACTAGCCGAAGCAGAATCTGTGATAGCTGAAGACGTGCAAGTGTACTTAAAAGACAACGCAAAGAACTGGAAGAATCTTTCAATGAGCTTAGAGAATTCACTAAACTAGATAATCAGCTGGAGATTTTGGACCTGAAGAAACAGCTCACAGAAGCCAATTCTAAAATCGATCGTTACAGTCAGGAACTCCGCCAAGTAACGGATGCGTACAACGAAGAAATAGAAAGAGTTCAAAAAAATTCTCAAAAAGCGCAAGAATTTCATCGACTTGCAATACAGACTCGATTTTCTGGAAAAAAATAATAAAAAGACTAAAAACATACGAGTCAGAAATAGAGATGCTGCGTACTCAACTGAAGAACCTAGGAAGATCAGAGAGCCCTAAACCATCTCTTGAAGCTCAAAATATTGAGTCAAAAAAGAAGGTTGCAGACTTAGAAGCTATGCTTGACGCTGAGTACGAAGATATGCAAGATTCTTTAAGTGCTGCTACACAAACTGATGTAACGATGTCACACATTGCTGAACTGCAAGATGAAATTGGCTTCCCTAAAAGAACTTGAATCTAAACTGAGAAATGACGTAAAGAGTCTGATGGACGAGAGTAACCAACGTGAGGTCAACCACTCATTTAAAATCTCAGATATACGATGCCATAATGATTCTACTATAAAAGAGCTTCAGGATCAAATGGCTGAACTGGAATGCCAAAACGAAATCTGGATTATGAAAGTGCCCCTCTTTATAACCCGTGAAATAGCCCTAGTTCTAATTAAATTTCAGTTCAAGCTTCCAAAATGACTTCCGACAATATTAAAGTAGCCACAAAGATCAGACCAATGATCCACCGCGAAGTAGCCGATGGTCTAGAGCGTCTTTGGAACGTAAGAGTAAACTGCATATGGGAAGCCGATGAAAGTAGTCGCCATGGAGAGGTTTATATATTCGACCATGTATTTAAGCAGGAATGTACAAATTCAGATGTATATGGATCTGTAGTAAAACCTTTAGTCGATTCCTTCATGGAAGGTTTCAATGCCACAATATTTGCATATGGCCAAACATCTTCTGGCAAAACACACACCATTTTGGGCAATAAAACAGATCCTGGGCTTTTCCAATTAGTATCCAATCAGTTATTCCAGCATGTGGCAGACCAGGTTGATAAGAGGTACTTGATTAGATGCAGTTATATTGAAATCTACAATGAAAAGATCAATGACCTCCTGGATAAGAGCAATCAGGGTTTAACTATAAGAGAAGATATCAAAGGAAATGTGCTGCTTGATGCAAGGGAAGCTGTCGTAGACAATGTTGATAAAGTTATGGAGAACATGATGCAGGGCAATAAGATCAGACGAGTTGCAGCTACTCGCATGAATGAGAGGTCATCTCGATCACACACGATTTTCCGGATTATTCTGGAGTCGAAAGATGCCAATCAGAAAGATGGACCTGTACATATAAGCTACCTTAACTTAATGGACTTAGCTGGTTCTGAGAGAGTTTCTCTGACGAAAGCTGCTGGTGAGCGTCTTAAAGAGGGGGCTAACATAAACAAATCTTTGTCAGTATTAGGAAATGTGATAAGGCAACTAAGCGAGGGGAAGGAGTTTATCAGTTATCGCGATTCGAAATTGACTAGACTGCTCTCACAGGCTCTTGGCGGTAATGCCAAATCATTGATTATCGGGAATGTTACTTTAGCTGCAGAGGAGGAGACTAGATCTACACCAGAATTCGCCCAAAGCACTAAAACTGTCAAAAATAAAACGAAAGTAAACATCTTGTCAGCTACAGAAGAGACACTTCAAGGATATCAGAACTTGACTCGCGATCTCGAAACTCGGCTCAAAAAGCAGGCAATTAAGCTAAAAGATGGATAAAAGCAAACAAGAGTATCTGCTCGAGATAGAAAGACTAAAAACGGAAGTATCTATTGTCGGGCGCTTTCAAATGGGAGCCTCGGCATCAACACCGAAAAAAACATTAAGACGTCATACTTTTGGACACTATGGCAACGTATCACCTAAAAAAGCATCCCTAGGGTATATGCCATTGAAAAATTATCCACCCAAAGAAGAATCATCCGGACGTGAAATGAGGCCTATTCAAGAAGAGACATATGAGGAGGCACTAGCCGAAGCAGAATCTGTGATAGCTGAAGACGTGCAAGTGTACTTAAAAGACAACGCAAAGAACTGGAAGAATCTTTCAATGAGCTTAGAGAATTCACTAAACTAGATAATCAGCTGGAGATTTTGGACCTGAAGAAACAGCTCACAGAAGCCAATTCTAAAATCGATCGTTACAGTCAGGAACTCCGCCAAGTAACGGATGCGTACAACGAAGAAATAGAAAGAGTTCAAAAAAATTCTCAAAAAGCGCAAGAATTTCATCGACTTGCAATACAGACTCGATTTTCTGGAAAAAAATAATAAAAAGACTAAAAACATACGAGTCAGAAATAGAGATGCTGCGTACTCAACTGAAGAACCTAGGAAGATCAGAGAGCCCTAAACCATCTCTTGAAGCTCAAAATATTGAGTCAAAAAAGAAGGTTGCAGACTTAGAAGCTATGCTTGACGCTGAGTACGAAGATATGCAAGATTCTTTAAGTGCTGCTACACAAACTGATGTAACGATGTCACACATTGCTGAACTGCAAGATGAAATTGGCTTCCTAAAAGAACTTGAATCTAAACTGAGAAATGACGTAAAGAGTCTGATGGACGAGAGTAACCAACGTGAGGTCAACCACTCATTTAAAATCTCAGATATACGATGCCATAATGATTCTACTATAAAAGAGCTTCAGGATCAAATGGCTGAACTGGAATGCCAAAACGAAATCTGGATTATGAAAAGTGCCCCTCTTTATAACCCGTGAAATAGCCCTAGTTCTAATTAAATTTCAGTTCAAGCTTCCAAAATGACTTCCGACAATATTAAAGTAGCCACAAAGATCAGACCAATGATCCACCGCGAAGTAGCCGATGGTCTAGAGCGTCTTTGGAACGTAAGAGTAAACTGCATATGGGAAGCCGATGAAAGTAGTCGCCATGGAGAGGTTTATATATTCGACCATGTATTTAAGCAGGAATGTACAAATTCAGATGTATATGGATCTGTAGTAAAACCTTTAGTCGATTCCTTCATGGAAGGTTTCAATGCCACAATATTTGCATATGGCCAAACATCTTCTGGCAAAACACACACCATTTTGGGCAATAAAACAGATCCTGGGCTTTTCCAATTAGTATCCAATCAGTTATTCCAGCATGTGGCAGACCAGGTTGATAAGAGGTACTTGATTAGATGCAGTTATATTGAAATCTACAATGAAAAGATCAATGACCTCCTGGATAAGAGCAATCAGGGTTTAACTATAAGAGAAGATATCAAAGGAAATGTGCTGCTTGATGCAAGGGAAGCTGTCGTAGACAATGTTGATAAAGTTATGGAGAACATGATGCAGGGCAATAAGATCAGACGAGTTGCAGCTACTCGCATGAATGAGAGGTCATCTCGATCACACACGATTTTCCGGATTATTCTGGAGTCGAAAGATGCCAATCAGAAAGATGGACCTGTACATATAAGCTACCTTAACTTAATGGACTTAGCTGGTTCTGAGAGAGTTTCTCTGACGAAAGCTGCTGGTGAGCGTCTTAAAGAGGGGGCTAACATAAACAAATCTTTGTCAGTATTAGGAAATGTGATAAGGCAACTAAGCGAGGGGAAGGAGTTTATCAGTTATCGCGATTCGAAATTGACTAGACTGCTCTCACAGGCTCTTGGCGGTAATGCCAAATCATTGATTATCGGGAATGTTACTTTAGCTGCAGAGGAGGAGACTAGATCTACACCAGAATTCGCCCAAAGCACTAAAACTGTCAAAAATAAAACGAAAGTAAACATCTTGTCAGCTACAGAAGAGACACTTCAAGGATATCAGAACTTGACTCGCGATCTCGAAACTCGGCTCAAAAAGCAGGCAATTAAGCTAAAAGAGATGGATAAAAGCAAACAAGAGTATCTGCTCGAGATAGAAAGACTAAAAACGGAAGTATCTATTGTCGGGCGCTTTCAAATGGGAGCCTCGGCATCAACACCGAAAAAAACATTAAGACGTCATACTTTTGGACACTATGGCAACGTATCACCTAAAAAAGCATCCCTAGGGTATATGCCATTGAAAAATTATCCACCCAAAGAAGAATCATCCGGACGTGAAATGAGGCCTATTCAAGAAGAGACATATGAGGAGGCACTAGCCGAAGCAGAATCTGTGATAGCTGAAGACGTGCAAGTGTACTTAAAAGACAACTCAAAGAACTGGAAGAATCTTTCAATGAGCTTAGAGAATTCACTAAACTAGATAATCAGCTGGAGATTTTGGACCTGAAGAAACAGCTCACAGAAGCCAATTCTAAATTCGATCGTTACAGTCAGGAACTCCGCCAAGTAACGGATGCGTACAACGAAGAAATAGAAAGAGTTCAAAAAAATTCTCAAAAAGCGCAAGAATTTCATCGACTTGCAATACAGACTCGATTTTCTGGAAAAAAATAATAAAAAGACTAAAAACATACGAGTCAGAAATAGAGATGCTGCGTACTCAACTGAAGAACCTAGGAAGATCAGAGAGCCCTAAACCATCTCTTGAAGCTCAAAATATTGAGTCAAAAAAGAAGGTTGCAGACTTAGAAGCTATGCTTGACGCTGAGTACGAAGATATGCAACATTCTTTAAGTGCTGCTGCACAAACTGATGTAACGATGTCACACATTGCTGAACTGCAAGATGAAATTGGCTTCCTAAAAGAACTTGAATCTAAACTGAGAAATGACGTAAAGAGTCTGATGGACGAGAGTAACCAACGTGAGGTCAACCACTCATTTAAAATCTCAGATATACGATGCCATAATGATTCTACTATAAAAGAGCTTCAGGATCAAATGGCTGAACTGGAATGCCAAAACGAAATCTGGATTATGAAAAAGGACGACGAAATCAGAAAATTGCAACAACTAATTACAAACCCGAAGCAGGCTGGCACTTAACCAGAACCACCTGTGCAGGAAGACGTTGCATTTTATAGGGAGCAAGTTGAGTTCTCCCAGAACATGTACAAAAATGAGATAATAGGTGGAGAGTTACGTATAAATAGAGAAAATCTTCAGGCAGTTAAACTAGAAATATGTCTACCCTTGTTTAGTGTTTACGATTATTGCAGGGTTTGGACAAAGTTTAGGGCTGATCCCAGTGCTCACAGTGTACAATTTTCAGCTAATAAATCTTGAATTCTGAGGTAACAAAATCAACTAGAACTCTGAAAAAGTGATTTATCAGAAATCATGCCCTTACTTCCATGATAAGAGGGATTCGTAAAAATTATAAGCAGGTTGTGGCTTATTATCTAGTAAAAGATACAAGAATCCCAGATCTGAAAACGATTATTGTTCATGTGATCACAAACTAGCAGCGACTTGGTTTGTGCGTTGTTGGCACTATTTCTAATCAGGGCGCAACGATCAAAAACGCACTTGAGACGATTTGCTCGGAGAATACTCACGGATCAAGTCCATTCCATTTTATAGTCAATGCTCAGAGTATTTCTACAATTTGTGATGAACCACATTTATTCAAAAATGGATGAAATGCTCTTATTGACATTAATATGAAAGTGAAGAAGCTGCACAGATTGAACATGTCTAGAAATCATATAATGTTGATCAGCAAACAAGACCATACAAAGAGCTATGTAAATTGAAACCCAGCCACTTTGATTTTATAGATTCGTTCAAGAATATAGAAATTAATCCTTTAATGATATCGTCGGATGATTCGAGCTTTCTCAGTTATGTGGTGGGGGTCCCGTGACTTCTCATACGGTATGAGCACGTATACCTCAAACCACAGTTTAATTTAAACATCACAATTGTTGGTTTGTTGACTTTGCGGTCAAATTTGATCCGAGGATGTCAGTTGCGTGTACGATTTGAACTTCCTTCACAATGGATTTTTTCGTTGTTGACGGATGAACAATACACTATAGACTACGCCGAGGACGACGCTGCTATCGATCAACCTGAACAACTTCCTATGGGCGACCTCGCTATGCCTATGGAAAAAACATGTACAATTGGTCAAAACGAGCGCCTGCAACTGGTCGATTATTACGCATTTACCTGAACTAAAGTCCGTGGCAACCAATTTGGAAAATAATAACCCTGTGACTCGAGAAATGCCGATAAATTTCTCCAAATACGTGAAATTTTCGAGACACTCATAGAGAACTGTCGAAATTGTTATATTTCGGGTGAGTCCCCTACAAAATACGAGATGCTCGTGGGCCGATGTCCTTCCTGTGCCTACAAGAAAACTAAACCGAATAAGTATGGACTGATGATGCAAAGACTCACCACTACCTGCTCAATGCTTTCGTCTATACGAACAGAAATATCACAGCAGATGACTGGTTCACGTCAGTAGAATTACATGTAGAATTGCGCATCAACCAACTGACCTATGTCGGCAGGAAGCGTAAAAATAAGTAACAAGTACCCCAACATGTAGTTCCAAATAAGAAGGAAACACAGCCAGGTACTTCTAAGTTTATGTTGTACAGCCTTAGAGTAGTATCTTCCAAAACCAAATACACATGTTCTCGTATAGCAATCTATGCAGCATGATAACAAAATAGTAGAGGAATCAAAGAAACCTGATAAGATCCTATATTATTTTTATAACACTATGAAGGCGGGGGGTAATGCATTAGATCGGAAGTGTGTAAATTACAATACTGGTTAGAGAACGAGAAGATGGCCTTGTGCTATTTGGTATCCAACCAGCTTCTGTAAATTCCTTTTTTTTTCAGTCTGGGACTGAAAGTTCCATTAGGCGACGAAATTTTATTGTTCCCCTGAGGCAAACTCTAATTTAACTTCGTATGAGAGGACGTTTATCAGATCCAAGACTTCCTAGGGAGCTTCGTTCAGCCATGCAAAGAATCCTAAATTACCAACGACGAATAAAGTAAGCCGTCTACTTCTCAGCCCAGAGTTCTCGATCCTGATGCAGTTGTTAAAGAAAAAAAACGACGTAGGTGTTACATGACAATACACAATGAAAAAAATGTTCTACAATCTGTAATAAGTATGTAAAGTCACAGCGCACTTACATTGTTTCGTGAAAAGTGATAAATGTTAATTATTGTATGTTTCCTTATACGAGAAAGTATTTGTTTTTGTTGTAGAATATCAACACCAAATATGTTGTTAAATGGCCCATTTTGTTAGTTTTTTTATGTTCATATTACAGTTCAAGTTTCGAGGATTATATTTATTGCATTACTCATCTTCAATGGGGTATTTTCGTTTTTAGACAATAAACAGTTTTCATGTAAGAGTGTCTTATGCGTACAAACCTGTTGTACACATGGCTAAAAACAGTAATGGCATTTCAGATGTTGATAGTAAGATCCGGTGGATAACCTGTTTTGCGAGATTAGACGTGGGATTTCCAACACGAACACCATCTGTTTATTTGAAGCATTAAAAACTGTAATAATCAACAATTTCAGTTTTCCATTGACAATAATGAAGAATTATGAAGGCGATTCATGTAAGGCACTAGGTAACTTCGCGTTGCTTTTAGAAGAGTATTGTCTGAATAGACAACAGTTACCTTGTGATTCTTCACCGAGCTGCATTTTTCAAGTTGAAAAATCGGGTGCTGAAAGTGATGGATCTATAGATTTGTGAGAATTTGCTGCTGCTTCAACTTCTTTTTGTAATAACAATAACAGTCTATATGAAATTTAACAATTCTGTTTCTTCTTTGATTTTGAGTCACCCTGTAAATGTAGCTCTACTAAACTATCGGACCGCATTCATAGCCTACAAGAGAAAAAAATCTTCTATACTGGAAAGGAGGAAAAAAAGAATGTATCAACCTGATACATCTGCCCCTCTTTATAACCCGTGAAATAGCCCTAGTTCTAATTAAATTTCAGTTCAAGCTTCCAAAATGACTTCCAACAATATTAAAGTAGCCACAAAGATCAGACCAATGATCCACCGCGAAGTAGCCGATGGTCTAGAGCGTCTTTGGAACGTAAGAGTAAACTGCATATGGGAAGCCGATGAAAGTAGTCGCCATGGAGAGGTTTATATATTCGACCATGTATTTAATCAGGAATGTACAAATTCAGATGTATATGGATCTGTAGTAAAACCTTTAGTCGATTCCTTCATGGAAGGTTTCAATGCCACAATATTTGCATATGGCCAAACACTAAAACACCATTTTGGGCAATAAAACAGATCCTGGGCTTTTCCAATTAGTATCCAATCAGTTATTCCAGCATGTGGCAGACCAGGTTGATAAGAGGTACTTGATTAGATGCAGTTATATTGAAATCTACAATGAAAAGATCAATGACCTCCTGGATAAGAGCAATCAGGGTTTAACTATGAGAAGATATCAAAGGAAATGTGCTGCTTGATGCAAGGGAAGCTGTCGTAGACAATGTTGATAAAGTTATGGAGAACATGATGCAGGGCAATAAGATCAGACGAGTTGCAGCTACTCGCATGAATGAGAGGTCATCTCGATCACACACGATTTTCCGGATTATTCTGGAGTCGAAAGATGCCAATCAGAAAGATGGACCTGTACATATAAGCTACCTTAACTTAATGGACTTAGCTGGTTCTGAGAGAGTTTCTCTGACGAAAGCTGCTGGTGAGCGTCTTAAAGAGGGGGCTAACATAAACAAATCTTTGTCAGTATTAGGAAATGTGATAAGGCAACTAAGCGAGGGGAAGGAGTTTATCAGTTATCGCGATTCGAAATTGACTAGACTGCTCTCACAGGCTCTTGGCGGTAATGCCAAATCATTGATTATCGGGAATGTTACTTTAGCTGCAGAGGAGGAGACTAGATCTACACCAGAATTCGCCCAAAGCACTAAAACTGTCAAAAATAAAACGAAAGTAAACATCTTGTCAGCTACAGAAGAGACACTTCAAGGATATCAGAACTTGACTCGCGATCTCGAAACTCGGCTCAAAAAGCAGGCAATTAAGCTAAAAGAGATGGATAAAAGCAAACAAGAGTATCTGCTCGAGATAGAAAGACTAAAAACGGAAGTATCTATTGTCGGGCGCTTTCAAATGGGAGCCTCGGCATCAACACCGAAAAAAACATTAAGACGTCATACTTTTGGACACTATGGCAACGTATCACCTAAAAAAGCATCCCTAGGGTATATGCCATTGAAAAATTATCCACCCAAAGAAGAATCATCCGGACGTGAAATGAGGCCTATTCAAGAAGAGACATATGAGGAGGCACTAGCCGAAGCAGAATCTGTGATAGCTGAAGACGTGCAAGTGTACTTAAAAGACAACGCAAAGAACTGGAAGAATCTTTCAATGAGCTTAGAGAATTCACTAAACTAGATAATCAGCTGGAGATTTTGGACCTGAAGAAACAGCTCACAGAAGCCAATTCTAAAATCGATCGTTACAGTCAGGAACTCCGCCAAGTAACGGATGCGTACAACGAAGAAATAGAAAGAGTTCAAAAAAATTCTCAAAAAGCGCAAGAATTTCATCGACTTGCAATACAGACTCGATTTTCTGGAAAAAAAAATAAAAAGACTAAAAACATACGAGTCAGAAATAGAGATGCTGCGTACTCAACTGAAGAACCTAGGAAGATCAGAGAGCCCTAAACCATCTCTTGAAGCTCAAAATATTGAGTCAAAAAAGAAGGTTGCAGACTTAGAAGCTATGCTTGACGCTGAGTACGAAGATATGCAAGATTCTTTAAGTGCTGCTACACAAACTGATGTAACGATGTCACACATTGCTGAACTGCAAGATGAAATTGGCTTCCTAAAAGAACTTGAATCTAAACTGAGAAATGACGTAAAGAGTCTGATGGACGAGAGTAACCAACGTGAGGTCAACCACTCATTTAAAATCTCAGATATACGATGCCATAATGATTCTACTATAAAAGAGCTTCAGGATCAAATGGCTGAACTGGAATGCCAAAACGAAATCTGGATTATGAAAAGTGCCCCTCTTTATAACCCGTGAAATAGCCCTAGTTCTAATTAAATTTCAGTTCAAGCTTCCAAAATGACTTCCGACAATATTAAAGTAGCCACAAAGATCAGACCAATGATCCACCGCGAAGTAGCCGATGGTCTAGAGCGTCTTTGGAACGTAAGAGTAAACTGCATATGGGAAGCCGATGAAAGTAGTCGCCATGGAGAGGTTTATATATTCGACCATGTATTTAAGCAGGAATGTACAAATTCAGATGTATATGGATCTGTAGTAAAACCTTTAGTCGATTCCTTCATGGAAGGTTTCAATGCCACAATATTTGCATATGGCCAAACATCTTCTGACGTAAAGAGTCTGATGGACGAGAGTAACCAACGTGAGGTCAACCACTCATTTAAAATCTCAGATATACGATGCCATAATGATTCTACTATAAAAGAGCTTCAGGATCAAAGGCTGAACTGGAATGCCAAAACGAAATCTGGATTATGAAAAGTGCCCCCTTTATAACCCGTGAAATAGCCCTAGTTCTAATTAAATTTCAGTTCAAGCTTCCAAAATGACTTCCAACAATATTAAAGTAGCCACAAAGATCAGACCAATGATCCACCGCGAAGTAGCCGATGGTCTAGAGCGTCTTTGGAACGTAAGAGTAAACTGCATATGGGAAGCCGATGAAAGTAGTCGCCATGGAGAGGTTTATATATTCGACCATGTATTTAATCAGGAATGTACAAATTCAGATGTATATGGATCTGTAGTAAAACCTTTAGTCGATTCCTTCATGGAAGGTTTCAATGCCAAACATCTTCTGGCAAAACACACACCATTTTGGGCAATAAAACAGATCCTGGGCTTTTCCAATTAGTATCCAATCAGTTATTCCAGCATGTGGCAGACCAGGTTGATAAGAGGTACTTGATTATAGCAG